TCGATTGGAAATTAAATTCAGAGAGTGGTCAAGCCCAAGCTTGATTGCCAAGACCTTAAAATTGGTCCAAGATTGGCAGCGAGACGGCGCGCCGGTTAGGGTACAGTTAAGCCTGATTTGGCTTGACTGCTCCCAAGTCATTGTGAGAATTCGTTTACATGTATATAAAATGTGTATATATATTCAGCACGAAAACAATGTCTGCGGATGAGTATACGTATGCATATTATGAACATGCGCAGACGTCTACCACACAAATATTGGTAATAACTTGGGAGTAGTCAAGCCAAATCAGGCCAAGTCGCACCCTGAACAGCGCGCCATTTCACTGCCAAGCTTGGACCAATATTGGTTGCCTGTATTAGGCTCAGCTATTAAGCTTGGCAGTTAGATTTCTTCTCCAATCGGGCTGTAGCTAGCGGCGTGCCACGCATGCACAGTAGCTTATAGAAATAAGCACATTGTTGCGGTGGGACATAAAAAATGTCTTAAAGAAGATATTTATGGTAATTCTGTGTATATTTATGTATTTATTAGTTTTCAACTAATTTTGTCCGGAAAACGGACTCATTACAGCGATCATTATGAACATACTCCAGTACAAAAGTTAAATATTTACAAATTACCAATTACAAATTTCAAAACGTATTACCAAATGCACCCCAATTTAAATACTTCATCTTAGACTGTTATTCTATATCTGTCTTATCCTATGTCCAGATTACAATATCACTTTGTTTACTTACTTCATCGTAAATGTACATATTTAACGCTTAATATAATTTTCACACCTCCTTTTCTCATAGACATTGTTTAGCCTGCTCCATATTTTCGCTGTTTCACACGAGTGAACATCTTTTCATATTTCATTTACATCTATAACACCATTCAATTCTCTGCATATTTTATTTTCTTTTACAATTACCCATTCTTTTATTAAATGTTCTAAGCTCTCTTCCTTACAATTACAAAATTCACATATTTTTTTATTTATTTCCAATCAATATCTGTTTCCACCATTTAGATGACTGCATCTCGCTTTTGCCATATGACCTATACAAATACCTTTGGATTAGTTATTTACGTACTCCACCCTTCCTATTCTCATAATATCTTTATATCTTGCGCTATACTTTGAGTTTTTAATTTTGGCTTCCGTTACTTGATTGTCTATATCCCTCATACACTCACCTATCCTATCCTTTGCTAGTATATTTGGACTTCTTGACCCCACCAGTGTACATTCACTATACTCAAAGTATTTAGAAATGTTTTCCTTTCCTCTTTTCATATTCCTTTTGCATCACTTTCATAAGCTTCTGTATAGCACATTCTCGTGAGTCTGTCTTCCTCCTGGTTGTAAATTTTTCATTGAACCTTATTGCCATTTTACCAAAATGTACCCTTAACCTACCTAACCAAGTCTTCTTCAATATTATATATCTAGGCGTGCAAAAATCTAACCTTGATACCCATCGAAAGTAGTTGATTTGAATTTTTTCCAATACCTTTATCTCTTTCCAGCCAAAGATTTCCGCCCCATAACTCATTGTGCTCCTAACTAGATAATTAAATATTATCAGCCTTCTCTTGAAATTCTTTTTACACAATCTCTCCCCTAGTCCCCAAACTTTCCTAGCAGCAATAATTTCCTTCATTTTTAATTCGTTTATGTGGTTTGAGTCGTCCCCCTTTTTGTTAAACGTGAATCCCAAGTACTTAAACCTTTTAACTTCCTCAATTACCTCCTCTTTAAATATCCATCCTTATTTGTTTATTTTCTCCTTACTATTTAATACCAAAACCTTTGATTTCTGAAAACTTATACATAAATCATTTTTTCTACGAAATTTCCTTAGCATATCCGTCATAGTCACTAAAGCCTCCTTATTCAAAGCCAACAGAACCAAGTCATCTGTGTATGCAAGGCATCACAACCTTACTTTATTAATCATAATCCTTCCAATATTCCTAGCTTTTAATATTTCTTCTAACTTATCGATATATATACGATACAAAAAAGAGCCCAGCTCAACACACAACCCTGTCTTAATCCTTTTAAAGTTCAAAATTCATCGGATAACCCCTTATTTCCCCGAATCGTTATCTTTGTTTCAGTATATAATTCTTTGATTCTTTCGATTAAATTTCTACTGAATCCTATTTTACTCATTGTATCCAAAAGCTTTTCCCTATTTACCGTGTCAAAAGCTGCTTTAAAATCTAGAAAAAACACAAATACTTTATTTTTTACTGTTTAAATTTTTTCCCTTTGCACTATGTGTCTAAAATGAAACTAACATCTAAGGTCGATCTGTCCCTCCGGAATCCCGCCTGACCCTTCGGTAACACTTTCTTCTCCTCCATTTCTGGTAACAGTTTCTCTTTTAATATTTCAGTATATAACTTATAGTCTGTAGAAAGTAAGGATATTCCTTTTTACGGTAGTTTTTATACTCTAACGTACGTGAAAATAAATAACACCACCGTAAAGCTAAGAAAAATGGCATAGGAATGGATTTTGCTGCACTGATTTAACGACACTTGTTAATGGAGTAATTAATTGTGCAACTAAGATTCAACAGCAGCCAACTTTAGGATAAAATTTTTTTTGGGTGCCTAAAATACGTGTAAATGTTGTTTGTGTTAACAACTTTGAGATCCCATACCGTAGAACAATTCAAAACTCTGTGTTTTGATTCCAGGTGTCGTCAAAACAACAAATTTTTGAGTAAGACATGAGCCTGTAACGCTATTTTAGCCCCATTTTTGAATCTCAAACCATAGGAATACTTTTTAAGGTCTCAATTCTGCCGTACCTTTGAAAGTAAACATCCCTTGAATAACTAAACAAATTTCCAGATCAATATCTCCTTAAACAGCTTTGTAATTGACTGGAACATGAAATTTGCCATTGTTACATCCCGAGTTGATACGAATTATATTATAACTAAAAACTATCCGTCCATCAAAATTCAGATAAGACGTATTGTGAATATGACAAGAGGAGCTTGTATGTCGTTTATGTGTGCGCGTGTGTGTATTAGCTTTAAGGTGAATGCTTCATAATATGCTGACATAGAATATGGCCAGCCTCATTGTAAAAATGCATGTATGTATGAATGAATAGTTACTTGCTCATTAATTGTTTAATTTTGATAATGTATACTAATTAAAAATTTGTAACTCACACATCACTTCATTATATTCGGAATTGATTGTAAAATCCTCAGAAGGATTAATTTCGAAATTGTAAACTTACTGTCACAATTGAACTTGTATTTGGCGTTCTTATATTGCTGATACGAGCTTTCATCATCACTGATCCAAAAACTCAATCGCACTTATCAGAAAATAATGCGATTGGTACTGTTGTGTGGTTATTTCCTAATATGTAAAATCATAACATGTAACAGAGTTTTTATTAAATTTAAATCTTTTTTCCACTGTACGTTACGTATGGAGTAGGCTGAAGACAAAAGGTTGAACTTTATTAAAATAAACCATGTATTACAGTAAACATAGATAGGGTATTTCCGTTTTTAAGTGGTAAAAAATCCCGCGAGGTCCACTGTTATTGTATAACAAATATGAGAAACTGATTCGTTGTTTTTTGTACTGAATATTTTTTCTTGTCGTATTCTTATCTACGTTAAACAATACAAATAATAAATTTATTAATAAGCCTGATTTGNTTATTAAAAATTAAAAAAAAAATCAGGGTATTATAGCAATAACTCAATGGCTGTTCGGAAATTTGTTAACAAATTGTTCAGAAAACAGTAATAATAGTAAATTATTACATTATATAAAAATTTTCAAAAAATATGTATAGTTATTGAAGTAGGTCAAGTGAGAATACAACTTTGATTTTATATTTAGAGAAGGTGAGGAATTTTTAAGGTAAGGGGATTGAACGGAAAATTTTATATAATTGAATAAAAAATAAACTGTAAGTTTTAATTTATATTGAAGGTGGCTAAGCAAGGGCTGAGATAGTATTATAAAGCATTAGAGGTATGAGATAAGTGAAAAATTTAACCTAATGAAATAACGGACAAACTTAAATAGTTTTATCTTATACTAAGAAAAGTCAAGGGCGATTATAAAGCATGAGGGAGTACTAATAGGGTAACTAAAAAGTTTTAATACAGTGAAATAGCAGACAAACTGAAATAGTTTCATCTTATATTGGGGGGGGGGGGGCTCAAGAAGGACCAAGTAATATTATAAAAATGAGGGGGATTGAAAAGGGTCAAAGGAGGTTATGTATAAAATTTTGATCAATTAAATGTCGAATACACTGAACTAACTTGATCCTACATTAAGGAGAACTAAAAAATTATAAGAGGGGCTGAGGGGCAAGGTGTGAAATGACCCTTAAAAAATCTTTTTATAATACAGGAAAATAATTCAAATGTACTGACCTAATGTAGATGTGTAAAATGTATGTATTTAATATTATATATATTCATATACTATAGTACAACAGCGCTACAGGGTAAACATTTTATAGACGTTCTGTATATCCGTTGGAGGAGGGGGCATAATAGTATGAAAAGAGTATATTAGTACGAAATGGTCAAACAATGATTTTATAAGCATTTCATCTAAAAGATCTTTTACACTCCCTAAATACACAACCAGCTTGTTTCAGGACTAAATTAAACAGTGGGCCATTATCGTGTTCATCTTCGTTGTCATCGTCGTCATCGAACACTGCACGTGTATAGACTTATATAATTCTCGGCACAACGATGTTGAAAAAAAATTTTTAAGATTACTGTATGCAAAAACATACCATAAACATGATTATTTTATATTGTTATATATGAACAGTTTTAACAAAATAAGAAACTGAATAATTAAAATGTAATAGGGATTAGGAAATTACACACCACATAATATTGACATGCACTATATTTTTATATGCATAGACGTAAAAAGTTTTATAAATTATTTTGTTACATTTTATAAGAATATTATAAATCAATGCCACATTAAATGTATATAAATAAGAGCTGCATTTTTTGTGAAAATATTTATAAGCATGATTAACTTACAATCATTTTCTTGTTAATTCTTAGGCCTTAGTAGACATGAACCATTCCATATAGAAATCTGAAGTAGATATTAAGGAAAAATATTCATAAATTTAAAAAGCATAACTCTGCAGTAGCAGTCACATTATTATTGTAAATTATATCAACCTTTAATAGGTAAAAGCTCTACTTAAAGAGCATAGCTAGTTTAACAAACACTTTAATGATAAACAAACAAAATATAATTTATCACTACAAAAAATTAATTAGTAGTTATGTACACGCCCCCACAATTATGTTATTTCATCCTTTTTTAGCTGATAAAAAATATATTTACATAGAAAATGTGTTTATGTAATATAAGACAGTTCTTGCTCGGAATACGTGCAATAATAAGGAACTGATAGTATGTTTCTCTCATTTTTATAACTTTTTTAGTCTGATATTCTTTGTGATAGTATAAGGAGAATTATTCGATTCCATTCTCCTCTCGCATTTAATGTTATACACTGTATAAAGAATTATCTCCCCTTGATAAAATTCCGAAGGAGATTAAAAAACATTTTTCAAATAAACCTACAGATTTAAGCTTTATAAACATATTTTTAGTTTTTTAACCTTGAAAAGAGAAGACTTTTTTAATTTCACTATACTTGAAATAAAAATAATTACAAAACTATATCATGAACATTTATACATCTAACAGCATAAAAAATATCAATCAATTTACTTGACTGGCTCTGTAAGTTGACCCATAATAATAAGCCTTCTTACAAGTAACCCTACCCAACTGTCACTCACCGATTTTAATGAAACTTGGCCGAGTGATAGAACAATAAAAAAGATCAGACCCGTATATTTTTATATCTGCCCTAACTGATTTTCAAGGGTAGAAACCAGCCCTAATAAGCCATAAAAAAAATAACCCACCTAAGCCTGGGAATAGCTGTTTGAAACGTTTATTTTTCTTGAAATAATTTAGTTCTGCTTCTTAAAATCATCCACCTGATTACTTACCCTTAAACCAACCTTATATATTTTATAATATACCCCCAACCTCCTAACCCCTGTAAACTACTCTTACAAACCACCAGTGGATTAACCAGGGTGTCCACTGATATATCTCAAAAAAATTTCCTGAGATTTCCAGGTGTTTCCAGAGTATAAAAAATTCAACATACAAGAAATTAATGGTATATTTGGACCATTAGTAACAAAAGGTATGTACAAAGCTAAAAATATAGTAGTTTGGGCTTCAAAATCTAGAAAAATGACTTCTGATCTAACGTCACAATGGTTTGAAGAAATTTATTTACCTACTGTTGGACATGAAACAGATCTATGCCTTGATTCTTAGACTGGTCAGACCGAAAAACTGTTCAGAAATATAAATTTAATAAAGGAACTAAAAAAGTCAAAATACGGTGCCCAGAATTTCGTGAGGAAGAAGAGTTTTTGATCTACATCGTTAAGCATTAGTTATATATTTATCAGTAAATTTCCACACCACCCAGAAGGTACGTTATTACGTAAATTTTTATAACGAAGGTACGTACAAATGGTATTGTAATACGTTTAAAGTTTTTTTTAGAACTCTCCGATATGTTTAGAGAAAAAAGGTATACATTATTTTTTTAATGATTAAATTCTAAACAACGAAAAGTTTTAATCACTTTAATCACATATAAATTATTTAAATTTTATATAACATATACTTTATATTATTTTTGTTACTAT